ATATTTCTGGTACCATTTTTATAATCACTAGGTCCAATTAGGTTATTTGAAATGAATTTTTGGGAATCCACTTCATTCTACCTCTAGGAATAACATACTTCTTAATTCTACAATATTTCACAGAATGACCTTTTTTCATGCAGTAAAAACATTTAATCATAGATGATGAGTATGATTTCCTGTTTACATTTGTTTTTCTGAATTTCATGCTAGATGTAAATTCAATGCCAGATTTGTCAAAAGTAAGTTTTTGTGACCCAAGAAGAACATCAAGATTAGCTTGACCTTGTGTAAACTTTGAAACAGTTTGTGATAAAAAATCAATCTTCTTTTGTAATTCTGAACAATTATTACATGGTTTATTACATACACAATCAGAATTATCATGGATTAATTTTAAAAAGTCAAGATCAGTTTCATCTTCAAGAATTTTCTTTTCAAGAGAATCTACTCTATTTACTAACCAATTATTCATGCCTTTTAGCCTATCATTTTCTTTTTGCAGTTTCTTAGTTTCTTCATGCATTTCATTAAATGCTTCTTGTAATAAATTATAATTCACCAAATTTGAAGAAGAGTTAGAACTTACACTACTGGTTTGATGATTTTGATTTGCCATTAGACACAAGTTAGCTTCTTCATTATCAGAATTTTATGATGATGAAGTATCATTATCATCCCATGCTACATATGCTCTTCTTTTGACTTTTTCCTCTTTCTTATCATTGTATTTGTTCTTTTCTGGACACTCCATTCTTACATGACCCTGCTTACCACAGCCATAGCATTTATAGTTAAAAGAATCATATTTTTTTCTCATAGCTTTTGTGTTTTTCTTTATCTTGAATCTTTTTCTTGAAAAATTTGTTGAACTTTCTGACAAGCAGTCCAAGATTTTCACTTTCCTCCTCTGATTCTTGACTTCTTTCTTCAACCTTGAGTGCTATACTTCTACCTTTTTTCTCAGAGACTTCTTGCTCATTGAATCTGTTAATTTCCATTTCATGTTCTCTGAGTTTGCCAAACAAGGAAGTTGTTGTCATGACTGATAAGTCTTTTGATTCTGAGATTATTGTGACCTTAGACTGCCATGACCTGTCAAGACATTTCAGAACTTTAATATTTAATTATTCTTTATCAAAAGTTTTACCTAAGCCCATTAGATGATTGATGATATGAGTGAAGCGCTTCCGCACATCTGCAATACTTTCTCCAATTTGCATTTTAAACAACTCATATTCTCTTATGAGAGTATGTTTTCTGGATCTCTTTACATCAGTTGTTCCCTCATGAGTAACCTCAAGAACTTCCCACATTTCCTTGGCAGATTTGCATTGGGAAACCCTGAAAAACTCATCTATATTTAGTGCGAAGTAATTATGTTTTTAGCGAGTACAATCACTTTGAACTTTTTTCTTTTCTTCATCATTTAAACTAGATCATTCTTTTTCTATAATTAATGGACCATTAGCAATTACATCCCAAACATTCCTATCAATAGATTCAATAAATATCTTCATCCTAATCTTCCAAAATGGATAATCTGTACCACAAAACAGTGGAGGTCTATTAATATAAGCTCCCTCAGAAAAAGGTAATTTGTTTTCAGCCATTAAAGATTTGGACCGAAAGCCTTGAGTATTTTTCAAGACCCTTGCTTTGATACCAATTGTTAGAAATGTAGGCTGAGATCAAGAGGGGGGGTGAATTGATCTTTGAAAGATTTTCGCAATTTACAAATTATCTATTTCAAAGATTAAGAAATCTGACAAGTTCTTGAGTCACACACAGCAAGCAATCAAAATAAATGCAGTCACAGAATTAAATGAGAGAAAGGTTTAGAAAGATACAACCAAGATTTATACTGGTTCACCCAATCCCAGGGCTACGTCCAGTTTCCAGCCAAATTCCAGCTGGGTTCCACTAGATTGAACATTTTACAGATTACAACTTTAATTTCACACTCAATCTACCACAAGAACCAAAATTCTAGTTCCTGCACCTAAACCTTCACCAAGAACCAAATTTCAGTTTTTGACCAACCCTGCAGCCAAATTCCAGCTACAGAACTCAGTGCCCACAATTCCAGGCACCCATAATACAGTAAAGAAAGTAAAGAAACAAAGAGAAGAAATTAAAATGCTCAAACCAGATTTATGCAACTCTGCAGTGTGAGTTTCTTCTCCAAGAGAATGCAAATTTTGCCTCAAGAAAGAACTTCTATGAACTTAAAAAAACTAGCGCGATTCTCTCTTGAAAGTAGCACTTATGATTGCTTGATTGATTGCTAAATGATGTGTTTTAAAAAGTTCAAGCAACTTTGTTTATATAGAAGATTTTCAAAACTACTGGTTTATTTAATCTGTTAAAATAATCTTTTAATCTATTAAAAGTCTTGTTTTAATCTGTTAAAAAGTTCTTGATTATTTTCCAGATTTGTTTTAACTGATACGACACCGTTTATATCAATTAAAACTCTTTGAAAAAATCTTCTAAACTGGTTTAATCGATTGTTTCGTCTTTCAATCGATTAAAATACTGCAAAACATTCTCATAAACTTTTCTAAGTTATTTTAACTGATAGCAAGCTTGTATTAATCGATTAAAATATTCGGAAAAACCTCTTAGTTGTTTTAATCGATTATTTCGCATTTGTATCGATTAAAATACTCGACAAAACAACTTTCAAAACACTTCAAGTTATTTCAATCGATTATTTCGAGTTTGCATCGATTAAAATTACGTCGAACACTTTTCAAAATATTCTAAGTCATTTTAATCGATTATATCAATTCTATATCGGTTAAAATATCGACAGAAGGTTTTCAAAAATCCTTCTAATGAAAACAATCGATTATTTCGAAAACATATCAGTTAAAAACCTGTTACAAAAGTGTTAAGAACATTTTAGTTAATAAAGCTTATATACTATTAGTTAAAATAGTTAATTAAAAACCTTTTAACATTTTTTAGAGGCATTTGAAAAATCTTTTAAATGAAGAAACCTCATGCAGCAGAGAGATAAAAATGATTATACCTAAGCAGAGATGCAGACTCACTAATCTCACTACCCTTTTATCTAAGTGACATTTGACTGCCACAAAGTAGCCTTTGACTTCATTTTTGACTTCATCAAATCAACAAGATCTTTGCCAAAGTAATTCAATAAGATCTTCATCACTTTCAAGCATCACCTCTGAAAATTTTTATGTTGTGGTTCTAGAAGAGAAAGAGATAATAGGTGATGATTTTGTTTTGGAAAAACTACTTTGCTTGGGACAAGCAAGATTCTAGGTTGGGGGGAGTTGTTAAGTGGTAAAAAGTTGATATAATTATGTCTTGAATTGTTATGAAACCACTTAACTTATGTTAATTCTAATATATTTTTCTCCCAATATAGGATGAATTCGAGAATACCTTGATACAAGAGTAAGGAGCATAATTGTCAGCATAATTGGAGTAAAATTGAAAGAAAGAATAGCGCTTAAACGAATGAATGATGCGAGGCCCGACCCAAATTCTCTTATAAAAAGATAAGTTGTGTTTTGAGAAAAGGAAACAGTCTTGGAGGAGAGGAGGCACGACTACTGTTAGGGTTTTGTCTAATCTTCATCAATTCTTCACTTTTTCATCAATTGGACCATTGTAATGGTCAACATGAGTGACTAACTTCATTCTCTTAGGATTCGGTGCACTTCCTTTGAACTCTTTTGTATCATGGTAATATTTTGAGATCTTAATCTATGCTTTGATGTTGTTATTCTTATCCTTTATGCTTTCGAATGATTTATTCTTGATTGTTTGAGGTATAATTGGAAAATATATCTTGAACCCTAGATCACGGTAAGAATATTTGTTACGTTAATTGCCAGGAATGGAATGAATGTATCAATTGCTTAACACCCTAACCCTAATGCTGGAAAATCTGTTAATTGTGTGAGGAATCAACATTTATTAGGTTTTTTATGAATTTCATGTGTGAGGAATCAACATGGATGATTTGAGTAGGTGACATCAACATTGTTAGGTTAATTGACGTTGGTAATTGACATAACCATTACAAAAGAAAGATAAGGAAGGAAGTCAATCCTAAGTACCTTTAATTGATATTTTCTCAACAATTTACAGTTCTTTGTCATTTAATTTCAATTCAACTCTTATTTACAAAACCCAATTTGTTTTAATCTACTTAGTAAGCATAATTTCCATTGAAACCATTCCTCGTGGGATCGACTTTTATTTAATCAAAATACTATACTGCGATTGATAATTTTGGTACACTTGTCAATAATTCAACACATGCCTTTAGTCAAAACTTTAATTTAGTAAATCACTTTATTATTTAGCTTAATAAATAATGACTCTAACACATTTAAATGATGTATCATGATCCAAATTTTGTCAAAAGATAAATGCATTAGTAACATACATAAATCAGAGAGCAAACATTTCAACCAAAATTAGCCGTCCTGCACAATTGGAATTTGCTGTGCTGCTTTTTGGATTTCCCCATCCTTGAACGAGCAATTGAGCAGTTCCTTATTTTCCTTGAAACTGAGGCAGCATGTCAGTTGAAAAGATAGCAATTCAGCATTCCCTTCTATGTAAAAAGTGTTGGCAGCAACACATTCCTTTCAAAAACTCTTCAGAACTTTATTTTATAAAACTATTTAACACCGCATTTTTTATTATTGATTAGAACTGTATAGAATCAACTTTTGGAATAAGTGAAACTTTAAAACTGTATAGAGGATCAACTTCAATAAATTGTATAGCACGTTCTACCAGCCACTAGTATGTCCATGCTCTCAGCATATACACTAACAAACCACATTAATAGGTAGCATGTAAAACAACATAAAATAAATAAATAAATTACAGGTGTAAACAAAAATCATGCTCAGTGGAGTAGTATTGTTCACAATTGCTGAGTGTGGCTTATAATATACAACATTGATCCATTCATAAGGTATCCATACTGCCTCCACAAGACTGATGAATCATACCGCAGCCCTTAATGCTCCCCTAGCAACCTCCCGTTTCATCTCAGCAGCCTTACCACTGCCACGGAAATACATGTACACTTGCTGTATGACAAGACAACCAAAGAGACAGTGAGTAGGTAAGTGGTACGGAAACCATGGCATTCAAAATGCTGGGTGCATTTGCCTAAAATGATTGGAAACTTCAAGCAAGAAGTATAATCAGACCTGAATAACCCAAATGCTGATCAACGTTTCAATGCAGAATAATCCAAACCCGATGAAGTAGAAAATCTACAGCAAATGGAGAAAAACATGATAAAATATCAATCACTCAGAAGCAGAATATTGCTCTGGTTGCATTCTGTAGTATTTGCAAAAAGATATGGACCATTGAAAAAAATAAAAAATTAACATAGGGTGTAACATGTATAAAATACAACTTCCACAATTAAATAATATGTTATAGGAACAAGAAATAATTCATGCCAAGCACTCTTACCCCAATCAAAGCATGGTCGCCCAGCACATCTATGGCAGACAGAATACCCCTGTATCAATGAGTAGACAGAGTCAACCACAAGGTTAAAAGAATGAAAATAACTTCAGCCTCTTGAGGAATGAAACACACCCACTAAATCCAAAATTATACCACACACTTAAGAACGCCCCAAAGCCCCAACTTCACCACAAATGATATGATCCCTCCCTCTCTCAAGTCTCAACCTCTCCTCTTATTCATAGGTAATATGCCGTGTGTATGTGTGTGTTGTGTGTGTGTATATCTATTATGTTAAATAGAGAACATGTATGAAGTTGACATACGTCAGGGATTTGCCTTTGAAAACTATAGGGGGAGCAACCGCAGCTAAGATGCAAAATCCTATGTGAAGCTGTAAGCAGAAGAAGGAATGAAGATGATTAGATTTTTTCCAGCGTTTAAAGCATAGCTTATGCAGAAGTATAATCCATTTACCAGATAAAGCATGAAAAACCATCCAAATTTCAAAGCACTTTCAGTCCTGCAAAATCGAGAAGCATATTCAAGACCAACAGTATGGCCAAATAAAAAGATGAAAATATGCATGCATATTTTATTTTCCTGTTGTTCTCATGAATGCCTCAAAGCACAAGGTAAAATTTTCTGTAGGGAGTGGGCATCTCTTTAAAATTTGTCAAAATCAACAATAGTCTGACACTTAGATGAATAACCCATTAATTGATACGAAAATAGGGAAAAACAAATGGAAAATAGTGTTCAACTAAATTAAGTTTATAGTTGAAAAAGTCAACTTAATTGCAGTTACTTCTAGCTCACTTCAGTTACAACCTGTCATAGTTAATTCTTAGTGTCCGAAAAGGGCTAGTAATAGAGGGCCCAACCAGATAGATTGAGTAAAGTGTCGTAGATTACGACCTCCAGCTAAGGAGTAGGGATCCCACATATGGCTAATATAACTCTTAAAAAGCTTAGACACTCTTTACCTTACAAACCAATGTTGTTGATCAAGTCAGGTTCTAAGCCCAAATTCCAATATGTATTTACTTCAGGAATTCAAACCTTCTGCATTTCAGATTAACCATATGGACACAACCAAATGTTATAAACATGGTATCCCTCATACAGCCCCAAGGTTTAATCATTAAAATCCAGACATGACTCTGTTCTTCAAAACAAATGTAAGTGACTATACAAGTTCTAAGTAAATGCTCACTATTTGTAGTTGCATAAAACATTAGAAGACATAAAACTAAATGCATGCAAGCATTAAAAGTTTACCTAAAAGCACGATATAATGGGCGATACCACAGAACATATGCTCCAGGAACCCCTGCTATGAAGTAGATGATGGAAAGAAACCATATTTTTACACCTACAACAAACAAGGCCAAAGTTCCACATACATGGAATTTAGAAATGTCAGATTTGTAGTTTGAGTATATAATAACCTAAGAAAGTTTTGTGTACCTAAACTCACCTTCACCCTTAATCCAAGCTGCAGTAACAGCTATGACATTCCAAAAGAGGCACAACACTAATCCTGCATAACAGCACTATTTATCAATGACAGTGAACCAATCTCATGCTTATATTGGTAATGGGTATAAAATAACATGATTTACAGATCATTCAAAACATTTGGTTGTGCCGAGAACAAGAGAACTCATTTATCTTACTCACCAAACCAGATTAGTTCCAAGAATCCAGGTTAATGCTTTCAAATTAATCATTCAGACAAAACTACTTATCAGAGTATCTCACCTCTCTTCAAGGCTTCAGCCTTTTTGTGTATTTAAAAAATTTGGGAGTAGAAAATAAAATGTTCCCAATACTACTTTATAGTATAAGGTGTAAAAATTGTCACTGATGCCAATTAAAATATAATATCTAATTACAATTTTACTGCGCAACTATCATCATTTCACAAATTTTACCATTGAAGTTTTTTCACGCATTTTACCATCACGGTTTTCAATTTTTGTGTATTTTACCAATCCGTTAAATATATAATGGCATGCGCTGACAAATTAAAAAAATGTTAAAAAAATTAAAACATTATTTTGATGTCATTTCGTTTTACTTTTTTTCCATGAAACATTAACACATTGTTAGATATTTTAACAATTTGGCAAAACGTGCAAAAATTATAAAAAAAAATATGCTAGTACTTGAAAAAAAAAACTTAGATCGGTAAATTTTGCACAATGATGATAATTGAATAATAAAAGCTGGAATTACGCCAAAGTTAAGAAAATCAAAAGGCACCAAGGTCATAATACCAATCATCTGCAGAGAACACACAAAGGACCCTTGAAATAGAATCTACAAATAAAATTGAAAAAACAAAGAATGAAATGATAATACCCCCTGCACCCCCAAAAATAAATAAATAAAGAGGATAACGTACCCAACAGTGTAGTAAATGCAACATATTGCAATTTTTGTAGATGAATTGGAATTTCATTAGCAATGTCGTGATGGATTATTGGGAAAAATGGAGGCCAATTCTTCTCCTCGAGAACAATTCCAGCTGCAAAACAAAATATAAATACCTACCAGAATAATTAAGCAGAAATAAAATTAGAACATAAAATTGGGAGCATGTATAGAATTCTGCAGTACCATTCCTCCACTATTCAATTGTATGGCAACACAAACATAAATCACCCCCCCCCCCCCAACACCAAAAATAAAATAAACTTGCATACAATTGATTTTTAAAGCAGACTTCAAATATAGAATCAGGAAATGTAAATCACCTCGTGCAGCAGCTTCTTCTTTCCGCCTCACATCCTGAATTTGATAAATAAAAAGAAATAAAATACATGTGAATTTCCAAGCATTTTCAGCTGACAGAAAAGTCAGTACGCAAACCTTTATGTATATAAAGTTAATTAAACAAACAAATATCAGTCTGAAAAGTATAAATATATAGAGCAATGCATGATTTGATGAGGAGCCCTGAAGATACATATTTCCATAGGCCAACCTATTATCCAATTATTGCAATTTCAGATGCCTTCATCATATTCATATCCAAACTTTTGGTAATATAATCAATCAGATTCAGTTCAAATTCTTTATGTTTGTAGAGGCACATAAATATATAGGAAATTGTTCACTTACTCTAGTCGTAAGTCTTGGAAACTATCCATTCAATAAATTTTATAAAATACTTACTGAACAAAAAAGAAATTATATTAAATCATATGATATTATTGTTATTATCTTGATAAACATGCATACCAAATTTTGGATTAATTGAAATCCCATCCTGTTACCTGTTCCCTTCGTCTCAATTCAGCTTCCTTGGATTGAAGTTCCTTCTCCTTCTTTTTCAAATCCTAATGTTGAAAGAGATCATAATTGCCAAACGACATTTAATACTTGCAACAACACATTAGAAATGAGAAAAAGAACTGAGGATTTCATTAACCTCAATTTTATACATACCGTCGATGAATCAAGAGGTATATCAACTGTCGCACCAAAGCCATAATTATAATCAACAGGCTCTGGCTTAAGAGGTGAAAGCCTTGAATTTGTGGCTGCTGGAACACTTCCAGGATTCTAACAGTTTAAAAACATTGCAACACTTTAAGTAAATCGCAAAAGATTTATTGCCTTTTATCATCAGATCTGGTACCTAATTTACTTCATAATAAATAAATAGATAAACAAATAAAAATCATGCCGTGAACCTGAATGTTTGATTAATAAACATTAAGAAAACAAAATAGCAATCATATAAAGCACCCCAATCGTTGTTTTTTGTTATTTCTTATTTTTTTTTGTTGCAAGAATCTATCACTGATATTCTAAGAGCCAAGTGACAAAATGATGTACAATTAAGTAATACTTTCTAAGCTCTACTCCCGTAATCTTTTTACCCTTCCTTATCTCGCCCTTGGTGTAATAACAGTTTTGGTTCCTTAGTCAGACATAAATTTCAATTTTGATCCCCTAATTTTAATGGCAACAATGTTCCCATAGTTAATAGTTTTCATATTGGTGCAATTATATCCGAGTCAGATTGATCTTGCCATCTGAAGAAGGATTTAAATTTTGTTGGTGTGGCACCGTGCCTCACCATTTCCATGCCAGAAAGAAAAGGAGAAACTCATCAATTTGTCAAAAAAAAAGGAGATTCCCCGCATCACCAAAACTAAGGAAAGGGCCTTAATTGCATCAATTTCAAAATTCTGCAGTAAACATTAAAATTATTGAGGAACCAAAATGCAAATTTAGTAAAATATGACAGGAAAACCAATAATTGTAATTTAGCCTCTCCGTTATAAACAGAAAAATGTGGGGACTTGATTCTTCAACTACACCACATTAACCTTCTTTCAGCAGAAACAGCAAGCACCTGGATATAAAATTGTCCGAATTCACTCCCTTAATTTACATTATACGTTACCCTATGCATTTTACTTCTTTAATTTTAAAAAAGTCGAATAAAATCTTTTCATTACCAAAATCTGATTGCCTAGTTTTATTTCCTTCACTTCCAGTATTTCATTTGATAATTGAAAAATGCCACAGGTCCATTTAAGATACACATAATTGCCTAGTGCCATCATTAGTTGAATTTAAATGCAAAAAAAAATGTTACAGAAGTCCTTGAGTAGTCGCTACTCAAATTTTCAAGGATCAAATTGCATTTATGAATTCTTTAGGATGTTCAGCCAATGTTTGCTTAAGGAAATATATTTCTGGTACCAAACAGGATTGGAGGAATATGGCCATGGATTTTAGTTTCTGTATTTTGTAATTATATCATGTTCCATCCATTGAAAATATTTTATACTCCTAATTTATTGATCATTCCTTTGTTTTTAATCAAATTCTCCTATTCAGTCTCAGTGTTGATTCGGTTAGCAAACCCAATTAATACAGTATGTGTGTTTGTTTGTACACAAACACACAAAATAAAAATTTGGAACAACTTAATATAACCAGTACGTTTTCCAATTACAGCTACACAAACACCACTATTTATCCTCCATTAAAGGGAAGTTGTCTCTTAGTATCTTTTCAAAGAAACCATTATCATGAATTCCAGTCTCTAGTTAATATTTAATCCTATATGGTCTGGACTCATGAGTTCTACATCTTTTCTTCAAATAAAAAATGGATTTGAAAACTTCTAGACTTCCATCACCGCCAGAGGGTCAATTACTTCATGTTAATTCGTTAAGAAGTTATTAGACACACTAACTTTAAGAAACATAGTATCAGCATCAGCATCTGCATCTGCAAGCAAATCTAAAGGACGTGTAAAAGAACCGTCCAGAAATGTTCAGAAAGTCAACTTCTTCAGACCAAAACATCACCCAAAAAAATAATAATAAAACCCAACACGAAGCAGAGAGAACAAAATCAATGACTACCTTTAAACCGGAACACACATATATACTGACACAAACAACCCCCACAACCGGTTTCCTCAACCACATCGATTATAGTATCAAACAAGTCAACTGAAAATAAAAAACAGAGACAACAATTCGCAAACAATAATTTGACTAAAATAGCATGCTGAAACACCTCCACAACAGGATCAAATCAATCTCAATACAAAACTAAACTGCACACCCAATTCACCAAATCTCAACTTTGAGGAAAAAAAAAAACAGAAGTGATAGGACTTACGGAAAAGGGGTTAACTTCTTCCTCATCGAAGGGGTTGTCATAGCGACCAGCCATGGGAATTGGAGTGCAGAGATCTGGTCTCTGCAAAGACTAAGGTCAAATGGGTAATTAGAAAGACAGGATTTCTTGAGCGGTGAGATTTGAAAGTGCGGAACTTGTTACAGACTTGGAAAGGTAAAGTAAGAAGGGTTGCAGAAGAAGGGGAAAATTCCAGCTACAGAGACAAAGGAATTGTCTTTGGTCAGCTTAACACAGAAGAAAATAAAGACGGAGACTCTGTTTTAAACTTTGCTTTCTCATTATATATAATTGGAAAGTTTGAAATTTGAACGGAAAAAAATATAGAAAATGAAAAGTTTAAACTTCATATATTGGGAATATTTTTTATTAATGTGACGCGTAATAATAATATTTAGAAGTTTGTACTCATAATAAATTTGATGTTCTTTAAAAGATTATTTTTAAGGTTTAGATTTGAATTAATATTTTGCCAGTTGGTAATATAAAAAGTCATACTGTTGTGTTAGAATATGAAATTAAACTAATCGAAAAACATTTTAATTTCAAAATATTAAGAACAGCAATTCACGACAAAGGGGTAATCAAATGAATTTTTGAAGCAACTGCATCGACCCGTGGTTAAAGGGAAAAAGTTATCAAATTTTTTTGTCCAAATATATGCTGTTAGAAACAAGCCAAAAATTTCAAATTGTGCATTTGGCATTTACTGTTCGAGACAAGCCAAATTTTCAAATTAGGGTTCCCTCTCATCCTCCATAACTCTAATTCAAAATCAGGTCAATTTCTAACTGGGTTTTAGGTAAATATTTGTGGGGTAGGTGTGTAAAGTATGTTATATAGTTATGTAGTGATATGAATATGATAAATAAAATTATTAAATAGTGAAATAAAAATAGGTTATATATTAACACTAACTCAATTTAAAGATGTTTAACAATAGGATTAAGTGAATCAGATTCCTCTTTAACTCATAATTGATTTTTGGATTGGTTTACAAATTGAAATTCGTATTAATCACAAATAACAATATTGGATGGGTTAATATATGAATTATACATTTAACATGCTGATCTGATTAATTCATATAACTTTGTATAACTTTTGAATCTATTATAAATTTGAAGTAATTATATAAAAAGTCATATTTTAAATTATTATTATATATAATTAAAATCTTATAAATTATTATCTATCTTCTTAATATAAAATATATGTATTTTATTGTTTATTGATTATCATATTTATATTTTACATTCGAAATTATAAGGAAATTATTATTATTATTATTATTATTATTATTATTATTATTATTATTATTATGTATTATCAGAAATTAAATTTTATATATTCAAAAAAAAAAAATATATATATATATATATATATATATATATATATAAGACTTATATCACTTAAAGTTAATTTATATATATTTTTTAATTTATTAAAAAATTCATTTTATATATTCAAAAAAAAAAATATATATATATATATATATATATATAAAAGACTTATATCACTTAAAGTTAATTTTTTTTTAATTTATTAAAAAATGCATTTTATAGGTAAAACGAATTCTAAAACAAATATTATCTTTAATATCATAATTGATCCTAATAATATATATAATTTTTATTTTTATTAATTAAAAAAAATATGCATTTGAACCTATATTAATATATATCATAAATTAACTCATAGTCACTATTAATACCTTTGTTCTAGAATTATAAAAGAAAAAAATATATTATAATGAATTTGAATAAGACAAATGAAAAATATAAATAGTATATATAAATAAATAAATAAAATTTCATAATAAATTAATACCCAATTTGTTACTCTATTTTTATATCTAAATTTTCTACAGTAAATACATAAATGATTTAAAATATATTAAGATTATTTATACAGATATATTTGTTTAATTTTAAATAATTAACATATTATATCTATAATAAAAAAATTATTTCTAATAACTTTTCTTACTTGTGTGGGTTGATTTCTTTCATAAAAATTAATTGTGAAAAAAAAATCCAATTTTTTGAAATTAATAATTTTTAATTAAAAAATTAATAAAATTTAATTCAAACATTTTATCTTACCGAAATTTTAACCAATTATCCTATACTTTAACATCATTAAAAAAATATATTTTCTACTAGTAAATAATATAATATTATAAAACCAAATAAATATTAACTTAAATTTATTATTCATATCATAATTTGTAATAAAATACAAAAAATATAAATATAAATATTAAAATTTAAGATAATATTAAAAATATGATTTAATTGTAATTCTCAACTATAATACATATTTTCAATATATTTTTCAAAAGGATAATAATATGATATCTTATTTTAATCATAAAGTATAATACAAAATAACTCAAATACATCTCATTAAAATTAGTTAACACTATAAACACTTAACATTGTTGGACTATCAATATCAATAATTTTTTTAAGAGTGTTGCTATCATTTCCAACTTTTAATATTAAATTTTATATTAATAATAATAATAATCATAATAATGTAACAATAAACTTTTTTATATTTTCATTATTTAATTTATTCATCTTGAATTTATTTTATGCTCCATTGAATTATTAAAATCATTAAATCTTATTATGATATCTCTTATTCTAATGTTTAAGAAGTTTATAAGCGGTTAAACATTAGTTGAAAATAACAAGCAATTCAAATTGGAGTTAATTAATGTATTTTTCTTTTATTAAAATTTTAATGAAAAACTTTGACCATTTGACTAAATCCAATTATTAACAACAATTCTATATATAAATGAATATTCAATACATACAAAAAAATTAATACATTTTAAAAAATTTAAAATGTAATTAAAAAAAACAAAAAATATAGTAAAATAATTTTTAGAAAGGTGTTTTTAAAAAATTTTTAGAAGGTTAAATTTAAAAATGTTTGAATTGTGAAAAAAAAAATAACTAAATAAATTTTAATCCATTAAGTATTGATAAAATAATTCATTCGAGTTTTGAAGAATGAGAAATGTATCATTAATCATTCATAAATTAACAAATCCAATCCATTATTTTTAATATTTTAGTGAATGGAGTAGATAAATCATGATAAATCTCATTAGCAAATCCAGCACACCTGCTCCCACATACTAAAGGTAGGTTCTAACTTATCACCAAATCCAAAACCAATACAAAAAGAATGGAAACTTCTGCACCGCTCAAACCATAACAAGGTTGCACATATGAAAAAATATGGTAAAAACAAAATGAGGAAGAAGCATTTGTGAGATGAATGAGAAGAACAAAATAATATAGAGAAATATGTTTTGATCGAATTGTTTATTCATTCAGCTACAAAAACTAAATTATGCCTATAAGTAAAACTATTGCCCTGTGAATGAAGATGGACTAACAAATAAAACCAGGTTAGTAAAAAATAAAAAAAACAGTTAAGAGAACAGGTTGTTTCTCTTCCTATGTCTCATGCGTCTCTGATTACTCTTAAATGGATTAACCCAGCTTTTGTCCTCAGCAACAGCTCGATTCCACCGATCTTTGAACACTTGAAGTTCCCATGTTGACTGCCTTCTTATCTGATCAGTCATGTCAGTGTTAGACAAGGACATTTGCGAGCTACTTTGTAATAAATACAGGAGTCTTGGTTTCCAAAGCAGTTGATAAGTAGTAACAAGAAGTGATTTGCAAAATACAAGAGACTTGGTTCCAAAAGCAGGTCATTTGCAAACTACTTTGTGATCAAATACATGGTTTCAAAAGCAGTTAAGTAACAACAAGGTCATTTGCAAAATGCATTGTGACCAATATAGAACTTTGTTTCAAAAGCAGTTCAAAAACACACCTCGATTCGCGGATCAGAAGCTGCACCATGATGTCTCTGAGATTATGAAACAAAACCAAGCAGAAAATGAAGTTAGGATTTAATATGTTAGTAAATGAAATTGGATTGCAGGGAATAACTTCGAATGTCATTGAAATCTGTACCAGAGTTGGCGTTTCATGATGCAAGACCTGACAAAATGAAAGACAACTGGTAAAAAAGGGACATCTTTTGTAAAATAAAAGAACGACAAAGTACATGTAGCGGAGTGTGTTGTTCCTATGAATTTTTCTTGTAAAAAGGATGGGGGTGTTCATATAGAGGAGTATTGAACGATCATAGAATAAACTTCACGACCAACTCAGTGTGCTCATCATATTGACACTAGTTTTAGTCGAGGCTGAGATCAGACCAATACATTTCACCAAGCAAAATGAACAAAGTTTAAAAAGTGTGCATCCATCGATGTTTTTCTAGGGATTGTCCCTATGTACAATTCAATGGATTTGGCCAAGAACTGTAATGAGAGTGTTTGTAACCATTGAATATATATACACACACATTTTAATGATAATTTTTGTGTATTATTGGCCATTTTAAGAAGCAAAGACGTTCCATAATAAAGAAAGCTAATGGATGCAAAATTAAATCCCGCATTTGGTGAGAATGGAAGACAATACTTTATCTGTTTCATGCCCGCTGCCACCCAGAGTTTGTATTCCCTTGTGAACAACATATTCCGTATCAACAACTCCCACATTTTGTGTGCGGTCTCCCTGAAAAATGACATTCATTTTGCAGTAAATGATACCTATCATGAAGGCATCTGAATCCTCTCCAGCACTCCTCGACCATTGATTTTTATATCCAAAAGTTACTAAACATAAGAGTGTAAAAATATTAATTATACAAATCACTCTGATAGGTTAATGTATTGTTGTAGGGGTGCAGGGCTGGAGAGGATCCAAACTCATCATTGATGAATTAAAAATAGAGATGAGTTGAAGTCAGTTAATATAGTGATAGCCAACTGTCAATAAGCAAGTTGAATAGAAAACTAGACGCATTTCAGGACTACGAATAATTATAAACCCGTCCAGAAAATGTGTAATTCTCACCTGAGCACAATAACCTATTTTCATATCCACTCCCCATCCATGGACAAGGTCATTCTGAAAAAAATGAAAATGATAATGAAGTTACCAAATTATGGCCCATTTTGATCTACAAGCAATCAAATAAAAAAATTAAACACTAAAAATTGCAGAATGACGAAGTTAAACCCAATACAGTCTTGTGGAGAGAAGACAAAACTGAAAAGCATGGTTCTGACTTCTGAGAGAGGGGTGAGGGGAGCCCCTCTCTTAAGACTGGGAGCTCAATTCTGTAATTTAGTTATTTCCTCTTATCTAATTCTCTTTCTCAGTTGTTCTTCAATTCCAATAGCTTTCCAGATTTAGAGATAGTTATACATAATATATTTAATCTTTTTATCTAGTATCCTACCTTACAATTAATCAATCTCTCCGATCATAACGTTACACTAGAGTAGACAAGACAATTGTATTATAAAAGAGACAAAACTTTGAATAATTTTGAAAGAATTTCAGATGTTGTTCGTGGTTAGAATTTTTACAATTCCTATGGACCATGGAAAATTACCTGTATAAGATGCCAAGTACAATCCCAGGCAGATCGAGAGAAAACAGGAGCCATACCTTCCACAAACCTGCCAAGTTTCGTTGAAATTTTTGTGATGCATAACATGATTATATATACAAAAATAAAATTATCATAAACTCCAAAAGAAGAAATGTTATTTTGATTTTGTTAAGTTCATTTTTCAATACATTGACTTGTGCTATATTGAAGAAAAAAAAAAAAAAACAGTATAACCAGGTTCAGAGAAAGTAGCAGTTACCCAGTGCAGGGAGGCCCTTTACTTGCTTCTGAACACCTAGTATTGCCTCTGAGTTCATAGACTCTTCTGCATGTATGAAAACTCAAGCTTAATTTTGAATTGATTAGCAAACTACATATAAATATCCTCTAACGAAAAGTCACCTATGAACTTTTTTGGTCCTAGCTCTAACTGTAATTCTATGATGTATCTCTGTCGAATTTGGGTCAAGAGCCGGTTGAGATATCTCCAATCCTTCTTCCTTCACAATTTCAATGTATCTGCAGAAAAAGGAAAAAGATATCCATGTTAACTTATTCTTTCTTTGATGAACATACATGAGATGATTGACTAGTCTTTAAAGAACAAGATTATAAAAGATTACTTAGTAATCTAATGTGACTTAAGTAATCTAAGAAGGATGCTTTAGAGCTTATTGTGCGTGCAAGTTCAATTAAACAGCAGAGAGGCAGATAAATCATTGAAGAGTTTGAAAAAACTTCAATATTGCCTTGCCTTTAATCTAATTTTTTTTTTAATTATCAATATTGTGATAATGTATAGGTTTATAAATTGAAAAACACAAGGCATTCAACCATATATGCAATCACTGACATACACATGCCTGTATAAATGAATTGGCACAGCATCACCAGCCATGGGCATAAATAATCAAGTAAAACACTAATATTATGAGCAGATGAAACAGGTTGTGAGCTGATTTGGTAAAGCACAAGTTGACATAAAAAATTTAATTTCAAACATCTACGCTACAATGAAAAAGGATTTATCCACTTGGTATATAAATTTAATTTTTCTCGAAAGCCATGATCTAGCTTTTTATTTAAGTTTTATACAGAGGAGAAATGCCTCATAACTAATTGATTATACAGGCTTGCCCCTTAAAGTGTTCATTATTGAAAATAAAGAACTTGATCTTGAAAATTATTTTCTGCAAGTTACAGTTTTCAATTGAGTTTTAATTTTTACAAAGCTTTTTGTTTTATATACCAGCCAAGGTACCCAAGATACCATTATAATGAAAAGTGAGTTTCCATTTCCATTCAGTTTTCACAAAAGAAAAAACTATCATCTCTTATAATTGAAGAAAATAGGACCACTTTTCATTATATCATGTCATGGGTGCCTCTGCTGATATATAAAATGAAAACCTTCGTATTAGAAGCAAAAATGCAGACAAAAGCAATCGTATGGCACTAGCAGGGAAATGGAACAAAACCATCAGTCATACCTTGACGGAGAAAAATGCTCCACCCCTAAATCCTCATCCCAGAGAAAGATATAATCGTAAATAGAAACTATATCTGGATGTAGAAATCTTTTTGCAAACCACCTGTGAAAGCACTCAGGAATTAATATCAAGACAGGTAAGAATAAACCATTGAAATATAAACATTCATCATATATTTAAATAGAAAGCATATATGTTAGGAAACAAAAGTAAGAGGACCTGCAGTCTGGAATGCACAGAAATGCCACAGACTGAAAAGGGATACATAACCAAGCCATAGTAACACAACAAAGGTCAGACATAGGCATATTACCCAACACATCTACAACAAGAAGATTAACTTGGGTTCAGTGAGGTATTATGTCGTTCTGTAATGTTTTTCAATTTGAGTGGTTGATCCTAGGAAGAAAAATGGAAATAAATCAAGACCTTGATTTCAATACATTGACGGAAACAACAATGTTTTCCCTACTTCTAATGATGCTTACGTAGCCTTATTGACTCATTTGAGTTCATAATAAATTTTTATTTTTAATAAATCCTTCATGTGATAAAGACTGACATTTCCAGGAATGTTTAAAACAGACTCTCTTCAATTAACATACATTAAACAATATATGGTTTTCAGACAGAAATAAAGAACATATATGGTCAGTCTAGTTATACCACTTTGTTTGGTTTTGAGCAGTTATGTGTATTGCCTTGCTACTCCAATTAAGATCCCACCATCCATCCACATTGGCATCATAATGGAATAAAATAATTGTAAAATTGTCTGGAAGAAACTGAAATAAATGAAATTAGATTAGGAGTGCTGACTCTGACTCGAACAATTTTAATAACCTAATGAATCAACAAAATACCTTTTGCACCATGGCATCTACGTTATGCTTTTGTTTAACACCAACTGCCATTGCAAGCAAGTTGCGATTGGAGTAAACATTAACCTGCAGTCAAATAATCACCATGGAACAATTATAAATTAACTATCTCAGGTGAAGCAAGCCTTGATAACTGATGGCATGCTCATTGCAATTTCCCAAATCCAGCCATCATATGTCCTTTTAAACTGAACCATAAAGTAAAAGAAATAAAATTTCAAAGATGCTTACCTTTGACCTCAAACTACTTGGTGACCATAAAGGCCTAAACTCAAAATCTGAAGTATGCTGTATTATACCTCGAGGTAAGCCCTTCAAATTTCTAGAAGCATCACAACGTACCTGCAAAGTGGCATCAAAAGCACCAATATGAAAACCAATTATGCATCCAGGTTACATTATCAAATAAATGCAAGAGTTTTAAAGTAGGCAGGTACATCAAAATTTTGAAAGTAGCCAATCATTCACCATCTACATGCACCAAAGCTTAAATTTTGAAAGCGTCAGAAAAGTGCTTAGTGTCAGAGTATACCTTGTCTTCTTCCCTTGTATTCCACTTTTTGTCTATCTGGTAATAAGCAATGGAACACAAAGAAGGAAATTTCAAATTAGAACAGGACGTACAAGAATACAATGTCCTGTATTGGTGCATTATAAGAAAGGTAAAGCTCAGGTCATGTAACCGCCACCTGCTACAAAAGTGGCTTTTGAATGTACACCATACTAGGTGCTGGAAAAAACTTTCAAGGAAGGCTATAGGGTTTAGGATGCTATAATTTTCCATTATCACTCAATGACAACAAAGAGGTTGATTGTTTAATGTTTGAGAACCACTTCACAAGTTTCCTAACCAAACTGAATATTTACAGTTATACTACTCTGGGTAAAACAGTACTTCAGCAGTAAATAATCCCTGACCTGATGCAGAATAGAAATTTAATCAAAAACTTTTGCCCAAAGTTATGACATGCGATCTCATACCTCTTCTTGATAATATTGATACTTTAAAGTTCTATACACAACAAACAACATAACTGTAGAAACAACTGCCATAAAAGGCAGTTGCTTCATCTTCAAACCTGATTTCCCCTGTTTCAAGAAAATTCAAATTAAAAGTAGAGTTACAAACACAAAACTCCTCAATGAAAATCTTTTAAGAAAACAAGACAAACCATTAGGCAAGACACTCCTTTTTCCCGTCGGCCACCTCCATGATTTGACTGACCTCATAGAAAAAATGAGTCTCTTATTCAGTTTTCATCACAAACTGCTTGCTCTGAGAGAAAGTATCAGAAATTATTAAATCTTACAAAACACAAAGGATTAAAAGAAAAAGGACTGATTCAGAATTTGAGCTAAATGATAGGCCAACAAAACCCCACGGCCCAAAACAGATAGGAAATTGCAAAGAACTGAATGGCATAAAAACAATTATGAATTATATTTACTTATGTGAAAGAGATTGGGGACTAACAGAGGGATCAGTGAGATGTTCATGCATAAGCTGCAGTGTGACAAGAAAGAGCTAATGCAGGTGAATTTGGGAAACATGCTTAGAGTATATGCATGATCACAAGTTGCTTAATCAACGCTCGTTATCAACATCAGACAAACCTCCAAAGAAAACGGCACTAATATAAATATAAAAGCTATTTCAAAACTGACATCACATGACACAACAGATAAGCACCCCAAGGAACACGAAAACAGAGCTGCATGCATTGGGTTTAACCGACACAAGGATCACATGAAAAACGAAAAGAAAAAGGAGGGCAAAAGACACAGCTGGCGCCAACACCTGAAAATCAAGACTCCGTTCTTCACAGCGAAGTCCAATTGCTTAATAAAATAAGACCAAAAAAAAACATTTTATAGAAAAGGAAAAATGGGATCACTATCGAATTTTTCACCCATAAAAACATTGAAAACAACTCCCTCAGCGTTTTAATTGGATCCAACCCTTCGACACTTTCATTCATCGTCGCCACATCAAGAAGGGTAAAGTTATACTCCCACCCGAAAAATTAAATAAACAGCATAAACCTTCATTTGATTGGCCTCACAAACTGAAACATCATTTTCCTGGGACAAGGAAAATTCAAAACTTTCCAACACTTGGAGATCCTCCCCAAAATCAAGCACTGGGACCCAGTAGAGAAAACGGGGTGGGGAAGAGGGGGGGCGGGGGGGACGCAGGCATGAAAGGCAATGGGGGTGAATAAGAACCAGGGGAAAGAAAAGGGTATGCATGAAAAGTGGAAAAGGAGGAAGCTTTGAAGATAACAGACATACCCAGATGCAGAAGAATCTTGTCAATGAAGAGGGAAGCAGAGGTGGGAGCGAGAAAGAGGGAAGAGTGAAGAAACAGACGTTCAACAAATAGAGAGTAAGAAGGGAGAGAGGTGAAGCAGTATATTATAATATGCATGCCTGGTTAAAGAGAAAGTATGGGCATTTATGGTATTATGGAAGCTAGCTAGCAAGCTTGGCTAAAGGGTAATGGCAAAGAGGATATTAAGAGTGTGATGAGTGGTGAACGATGACACCTTACAAATTACATAAGACATTAATAATATTATGACATAAGAAAAAGATAACATCTTGTATTCAACTCCTACATTAATCTCTGGTCCCTAAAGATTGTACTCACAAAAAAAAAAAAATCAAAAGAGAGAAAAAAAAATATTATTAATAACAAAGTAATTTAAAAAATATTATTATAAAAAATAAAGTTTAAATTAACTAAAATTACAATACTGAAAGATACCCATACAGAATAAAAAACTATATATAAATACAAAAAAAATATATTACTATCATTAAGTTAATATTTTAATTTTAATGCGCTAGGTAAATGAGTTTTGTAAAAGAATAAAACAGTATAATGTTTTTTTTGTCGTATTAAATATATTGATGGATGAAGAAGTTATTTAAAGAAATAATTCTTCTGATTTTTAATTTTCGATCAATATAGTACTTATATTAAGTTAACAAAAATTACATTATTGTTTAAAAACAAATTATATACGTATAAAAATATTTTATTTATAATTACCGTAAAAGTTATTAAAATTAATGTTGTAATTAAATAATGGTATTAAAAAATATACCGGTGGGTATTCAAAATTTTTTCCCTATTTAGAACAATTCAATAAATAGAATTAAGGGTTCTTATCACTTAAATGCATTAAATCTATATTTAATTATTGATATTTATTTTTTATGTTTTTAATATACATTTTCCTTTTATTAATTGAAAATTAAATATGTAAAATTTATGTAACTTGTTTGATTGAGTTAAAAAACAACAATTTTAAATAATTGTTTTCTAAAATAAGTAGAAAATTTATTATTTTAAAAATTGTTTGAAAGTTACAATAAACAATTATAATAAAAGTTGGAAGACATTTAATTTCATGATAAAAAACAAAACAAATGATATAATGCAATCATTACTTCATACAAATTTAAAACACTCTTTAAACTAATTTTTTTTAGTTTCTAAAAATAAAAAAATAAAGCAATTATTAACAAGATTTTAAAATTTTAAAATAATAAATAAATAAGTCCTTAATATGGAAAGGTGATATAAGTTTTCCTTTTTCAAAGTTTTAAGTAAAAAATTAATAAATAAAAACAAATTAAAGATAATATATGTACATCATTAACAAAGAACACTGCATATTATTATTATATTGGAAATTTTAAAACAAAATAGTTTTAAAATTTAAGAAAAGAAGTGTAAATAAACCATTTGGATCAAAATACCTCATCTTATTGATATAATATTGGTATTGATAGAAACTATAATAATATTAAAATTCAATTTATCTAAAACAACAAAGATATATGTAATTTGATGCAACATATATGGAGATTTAAAGTCAACAAAAGAAAGTTTTAATATTCAAAATTTAATTTTGAAATAAAATGAAGTAATACAAAGCAAAATTTAATAAATAAAAACAAACTAAAGAGAAGAAAGATGTTTGTATTATCAGTAAATAATGTTGTATTTTATTGTATTATAAACAATTGAAACTCGAGACTTCTGAATTGAAGAAGGAGTTATATAAATAAACCATTTAAATCAAAACACAACTCGTCTTTGTTGGTATAATATGTAAAAAAAATAGTAATTATTATAATTACAATAATATTAAAATAAAATTTTGATCTGAAAAAAAATCATACAAATATTTTCTTTTTAAGAATAAGAATTCAAATTTAAGTAACAGTTTTTTGTGTTAATTAAGCATTAAAAGGGGATGCTATTACAGTTAGATTAATGTAAAACATTATGCAATTTGTTTGTTTGGTTTACCAAAAATCGAAAATCTCTTATCTTACCCTGTTTCGTAAAAGAAAAAATAATTTTTTTGAGATAATGTTTCTACAAATTTGGTGGTGAATCCAAAATTAAGAATAGGGTTGAAGCCAGGGAATGCAAACAACGATGTGCATGCATGGTTACTTACTTGAAACCTCCATTAATTGGTTCCAAAGTGTGAGCATAGAAATTCAAAGAATACAAAAATAACAACATAAAAAGAAAGTGGTTGTTCTGATTATGTTATCCTACGAGGTAAACCTTCGAATGTGATGTGAAACTTCAAACTTGGATCGCTTCCTTTGACTTTTGCAATCCTAGTACTTCAAAATCTTTTAGGTTGTGGTCCATGTTCTTCATTGAGACACAATAGTTTTTATAAGTAGCAATTGATTGAGTCATCAATGGATAAGAATTTGCATCGGAAAGAGAAAGAAAAGTCGAAGTTTGCAACTTTTAGATTATTTTCGAATATTTTTATTTTGGTTTTACTCGTATATGGTTAATTAATATTTACTTAGGGGGAAATATTACTGATGTATTAATTATTTATGTATAAAACTAATTATGTAGTTTTTAAAATTAATTTAAATTAAAACTTTAAAACAAATAATGTTATATTTAATTAATTTTTTAAACTTAAAACTTTTAATTAGAACGAAATTGTAGTTATTATATGAAGATTAATAATTTTTTATTATTTTACTAAAATAAAAAATATAACACTTGTTATATGAAAACATAATTTACCCTTTAAATATATGTATTTTTTTAAGCATGGTGTCAGTATAAATTATTCATCGTCAAACATAGTGCATAATATAATTAATGACTTGAGGATACTTCCAACTAAAATGACACTAAAATTTAATATTCGTCTAATTAATTAAGAAACACGAATCACTGTTACTTATTTTAATCAATTAAATATATATTTCAATATTTTTGTTTATATTGTTATCATTAAAGTGATTTTATTTAAATTTAAATAGTTTTACACAATTTGTTGTTTTATAAATATATTTTTTTTATTGGATGAGATAATTGGTTTGGAATAAAAAGAAACTCATAATCTTTTTATCAATCAACTTGACAAATAGTTTTTATTATAAGGAATTTTTAAATTAAGAGCAATAAAAATGGACAACCTTTTTCATTTTGGTAAAAAAATATTTATAGTTTTAATTTAAAATAACTTTTAAGGAAATACTATGTCTTAAGAAATGGTGGTGAATAGGAGGGGGAAGGCCACATATTTAGGTCACGGGATTTTAATTAAAAAACTAAATACTTTTTGTAATCTAATGATTACGTTATCTTGATTTGAATTAGACCTAATTCACCTAATATCAAAATATTATATTTTTGTTTATTTAAAAGTTTCTTAAATTTAACAATATCAAAAGAAATTCAGACTTGGTAAGTTATATGAGATTAGTCATATGAAACACACAGAGACATAAATATTTTGATATTTTTCTAAATGATCTCTTCTAATATTTATTTTTGTTTTTTTATGAAAAAAAAATCATGTATTTATTTTCTAAAAATATTTTTTTACCATCACATTGGCTTTTTCTCTCAACATGATTTGTTCTTTATTCACTGCTATGATTTTTCATGTATTTGGTTAAATGCAGTGTGAAACCAAACGTAGCATGGTACATGATTAACAAATCGTCACCACCTTTCCAAAAGTATATTGAAAGCAAATATATAAGAGCTTAATATAATAGTTTATTATAGGGAAAACCACCAATGGTGCAATTTTAAAAAGAAATTATAATTTGGATAAATTTTTAAAAAATTATGCAAATGGATAAGTAGTATAAGACGAGTAACAAAAATATCACGATTTTCCTCTTTTTTTTCTAGATTTTTAATTATTTTTTCTTTTTCTCTTTTAATAAAATTGTGCTGTCTAACTACAACTTTCCTTATTTATATATATAATAATTATTTGTATTTATTTATTATTAGTAATATTAAATTTATTATAAATAAAAAAAATAATTAATAATAAATGTTAATAAATAAAATAATTAATATTTATTAAAATTATCATAATTATTTCTTTTTATTGATAAATTTTATAATAATGATTATATTAAAAATTTTAAAAAAATCATTAAATAATAATAATTATTAACTAAAAAATTAAGTTTAAAAATTAAATAAATTATTAACTAAAAACTTTCATTAATACTTATTATTATTATATTTATTACTTTACAATTTAATAAATATTAATAATGATAACTGTAATTATTTATTTAATGACATAAAACTAATTTACTTATTATCGATTTTATTTTTATATTTATTACTTATTAACTAAGTAATTATAATTATTATTTTTATATTATAATTATCACTATTAATAATTTATTAAATTCTAAAGTGATAATATAATAATAATAATAATAATAATAAGTATTAATGACAATTTTTAATTAATAAATTATTTTATTTTTTAATGTTAATTTTGTTTGTAATAATAATAACAATAATAGTAATATAATTAATTTTTAAAAAAATTAATGTAATTATTATAAGAAATTTTATATTATCAAAAAATAATTATGATAATTTTAATAATAAATAATAAAATAATGATATATTAATAAAAACAAAAAAAATTATTAAAGATAAAAATATTATAACTAAAATAATTAATATTTATTATTTTTATATTTATTATTTATTAATAATAATATTATTATTATAATTAATTATAATAATATATTTATAATATATACTAAATATTAATTATTTTATTATTAATTATTTTAATTATTTATAATAAATATTAATGATAATAAATAAATATAAATAATTATTATATATAAAGAAAAATTGTATTAAAATAAAAATAATTAGAAACGTAAAAAAATAAATTAAAATCGTATTTTATATGACG